CCCGGCCGCCAGCGCCGGGATTTTTGTGTTTTGGGGGTGGGTGGCTCGGCCCGCCCCGCCTCCCCCCGCCCCGTTAAATGCCGTTCCCGGCGTATTTGAGTCAGTACCGAGGCGGGGAGCGCCTTCGAGGCCGGTACGGGTGAGTGAGGGGCTCCGCGGCACCTATGGGGAGGGGATGGGGATGGGGATGGGGATGGGGATGGGGTGAGGTGAGGTGAGGTGAGGGGGAGCCCCGACCCCACGGGGGGGTGGAGGTTGGGGGGCTCCTCCTGGACTGGGGGGGTTAGGGAGCGCTGTGCCCCCTCGGGAGGGTGTCACTGATCCCCTGATTATCACTGATTTTTGGGGTTTCCCCCAAAAGTGCACTTGCTGAGCTTCCCCAGCTGTATGCTTTTTCCTTTCTGTGGTGCCAGCGCTTGCTGTCCCGGCTGTTTTTTTTTTTTGGGGGGGGGTGTAGGGTGTGGGTACTGGGGTCACAGCACCCCGCTGTGGAGAGGGGCCCCTGCTCTGCTCTCGGTACCTGCGGAGAGGATCAGGCTCTTCCCTGCCACAGGGATGGTGCAGTTTGCAATCTGCATGCTCTGCTTACCTTTTACCTAGCTCTGGGGCTGGTTCTCACTTATACAAGCAAGGATCTCTTTTAGCAGAGAATAATAAGGTCTTGTGCACTTGGGTGAAGCGCACCGAGCAATAGGAGAGCTAGATCTTGACAAAAGATAAGCTGAAAAGTGTGCCCTAAATTTGTTCTGTACCGCTTCTGCATGACTGGAAAATTGGGGCTGTGAATACTCATAGCTCTGTTTGTGCATACCCATAAACATGTTTGCATAAGCAATCACCCACCTTTGGCTTATAACTCTGAGCATTGCACGGGAAAAAATAGCTTTGGGCATATTTGCTGCAAGCAATTATGTTGGAAAACTTGTCTGGGAAATCAGACCTGTGTTAATCAGGTCTGTGCCAACATCCAGCCGAGCAGGGCTCTGCAGGTAACATGGTGCAGTGGTGGGTAGCCTCTTGGGAATTTTTTCCCCCCGTTTGGCCAGAAGGTGTGAGGACAGCTGTTGCTGCAGAGCAGGGAGCTGCCCACTCTGTCTTGTTCTGGGAGCACTTATCTGGTGCAAGTGGAGAGCAAGGAAATGGGGCTCTGCTGCTCATGGGACTGGGGCAGGTGGGAGAGGGCTCCAAGAGAGGACCCTGTTCACAAGTTTTTACCTCTTTTACTCAATCCCACAGGATTTCTGCCTCCACCAAGGCTAGATTGCATAGAGTTACTGCAAAGTCCTCCCTGTGGGACTCTTTGTAGCATCTCTTGGTAGCAATAACAAAGCTTTTCCTTATCTTTTTTTTTTTTTTTTTCTGAGAACAGGAGTGATCAGTCACAGGCAGTCAGCCTGTAGGCTCTCAACAGCAAGTAGAAAGTGTATTTCACAAGCAGGTTCTTGCAATCTGTTTGGGGAATATCATTAGATTGGCATCTGGTACAGGCAAAAATTGTGCATGTAATCTCCTCTCGGATCTCAGCCCTGATATTTGCCACCAGGACTTGGCAATACAAAGAGAAGAGCTAACTACTGGGCTAAATCTGGCCTGGTCTGAAATACAAATTCCCATCTGGAGGGTGTGCAAGAGATCCTCGTGTTTGTAGTAAAATGGCACTTCCCATCAAAGCAGATGGGACTGCTGCATCCAACTGGGAAAAGCTGCTGTTCATTTTTTTTTTTTTTTGGAAGTTCTAACTCTGTGTGTTTTTTGTTGTTGTTTTTTTCATGAATAATTAAATAAATTTGATGGGATTAGTACAAGATGGGTTTGGGCGTTGCTCTTGTTGGTGGTGGCAGTGAACAGAAAAGATGTGGCCAGCAAGGCAGCCTGTTGTAGGCAATCTGTGGTCACAGAAGATGTTTGTGCTCCACTTGCTCATGAGGTAGTATTTCCCTTGAGGTTGGTACTAGGGGTTAAAAGTTTTCAAGAGAAGCCTTTGTTTAAACATTTTTAAAGTTTCCAATAGGGGCCCCTTTTCTCGCTTTCTGAGCAGTGTGCCTGCCTTGTTAAAAACTCAGCGCTTGCTTGTAAAATGCCACTTCCAAATGCTGGATGAATAGGGCTGGAACACAGGGAGAGGCAGAGAGAAGCAGCATTTGTACCTATGTGTCCATGCAAATGACAGACAAACCCTCCCTAACTGAACAAAAGGGACCCAGGAAAACACAACAATGAAGATTGAGTGGTGCTCACAAAGAGACTTACAAAAATCAGCTGCTCCCCCAGAAAGAGTCCCTTTTGTGCCAGATGTCCTGCATGTTTCTTCCAGCTGTGCTACGAGCTTGAGCAGCTCCTATGCCTCATTATTACCTCGTAGAATTGTTTTCTCTGCTTTGGGGACAAAAAGTCATATTGTTGTTTATCTCTTTGCCTGTGCGTATCATTTGGGATAAGGCTGTGAAAGGTTATATTTCAAAATATTTTATAATGCATTGGTATAAAGATTGATTCCCATTATAGTACAGTATTAATCATTCATAACCCTCATGAAGTGAGAACTGTTAAAAATCAAGTCTGTTTTGCCCAAGAGCTTGAAGTCCAGACTCTATAAAGAATTGATGTTTAACTACAGTACTTTGTGTGCTATCTGTCTATTACTAAAATTGTGTTCAGTGAAATCTGTTTAGGGAAAAGGTAATTGGGAGAAAACAGTGTTATGAAGTGCAATACTTTGTAGAAAGAAAAATGATTCCAAAACAAATCTGGGGTGAGGCAATTTGGAGCCCGTTAACTAAAAGAAGTGAAGAAACATGCAAAGGATACAGGGTAGAACAAATAGAGAAACAACCAGTGTGATGCCAAACTAACTATTAATTTTTTTTATCCCTTTTCTAGGTTTTGCCATCTTCAGAAAAGAATAATTCAAAGCAAGCAAGAGCCTGTGAAGAAAATAGCTCTTCCATAACATTGTAGGCTGTGTTTTGGTGCACTTCAGAATACAATTGCTATATTTAATAATAGTCTGAACAATAACCAGCCACCTGGTCTTCATATCCTACAGCAAATTGATCTTCACGGTGGGACAGAAGATAGTGGATTCTCTCGGCCAGGAAACTCAAGAAAGAGATGCTCAGAATGACATGCTCCACAGCAGCAGCCGGTTTTGCAGCCACTTGAAGAAGCCGGCTCTTGCTACCAGAAATGCTGCAATACGATATCCAAATGCAGATGCAATGAGGGAACTTCAGGATCAAAATGATGAGCTGTATAAATATACTCAAAAGTTTAGAGCAAAGATGGAATGAAAGATGCTTCATTATTTATTTATTTAAAAAAAAAACAGTGGTGAAAACTGGAATCCCTTCGTTATTAGAGTCCTCTTTGCTCCCTTTGTATAGGAAGCAAGGGGAGTGCAAGAAACTCAGTGCTGCCAACTTCATCATCCCCACGTATTCCTGACAGGTCGTTTATCTCAGGTACTGATGCTCCTTTAGTAGGTGAAGACCCACACAATGACAGAGAGGATTTGTGGTATTAAATCTGTACTTTCTCCTCCGCTGTTCAGACACTGTCTAGAAGTGTTATCTTACTGTTGGGGCAGAAATGTTTGCTGTGTATTCAAACAAATTTTATTACCTGATTTTTATTTTTTATTTTTATTTCTATACAGATAAATATATTTTCCTATTTTTTTCTATTTGGGTACATAAAGTCTGTCTTTAAATTTAAGCATACTGTTGTGTAAGCTGTGATATTCCTATGTGTACCCATCACCATTTCTATAGCACTTGGCTCAAATCCTGTAATTAGGGGTGAAAAAGCAGTATCTTGGAGAATTAGCTTTGCAACTGTTTAATATACAAATGTGTAGGCTCAGGTTTGGGTTTGGGGCTTGGGGTGAGGCTCAGAGTTAGCTGTGGGTCCAGGGTCAGCTCCAGATCCGGGGCTTGAGGTGAGCTTTGGTGTGGGGGCTCTGGGATCAAGGGGCTGGGGCTGGGGCTCAGGGTTGGTGCTCAGCTCCGGGTCTTTCAGTCAGGTCCAGGTCAGGGGCTCATAGTCACGTCTGGGGTTGTGGGCTAGGGGTTGGGGCTCAGTTCTGGTTGTCAGGGGTCACCTCTGGGCCTGGGACACAGCGTCGAAGGTCAAGGATCTGGGGTTGAGCATCCGGGATTGGAGTTCAGGGTTGGGACTTGGGTTTAGCTCCAGTCTGGAGTCTGTTCCTGGGGTCGGGGGTTGTGGTCTGTCTTGGGTTTTGTTTTGTTGGGGTCAGCTCCACGACTGGGGTCTGCTCCGGGGCCTGGGGCTCAGGTACAGGGCTCAGAGTGAGCTCTGGGCTCAGGTCTGGGTCTCGGGCTTATCTCCAGGATGGATGCTCAGGGTCAGCTCTCGGGTTGAGGGTCCGGGGTGAGCTCTTGGGTCTGGGGCTCAGGTCCAGGGCTCAGGTCTGTGGTTCATGTCCGGGGTTCAGGTCAGGGGTCAGCTCTGGGTTCAGGGCTCAGGGTAGGGGCTTGGGTCCGGGGTCAGGAGTCAGGGTTAGCTCAGGGGTTCAGGTGCGGGGTTTGGATGTAGGGTTTTGGTGCAGGGTTTGGGTCTGGGGTTAGCTGTGGGGTTAGCTCCGTCATCAGGGCTCGCTCTGGGGTCAGGGCTTGCTCTGGGGTTGGGTGCAGAGCCTTCATCACCCACAGGCACAAGGAAAAGCCAAGACTGGGCCAGGCTGGGTGGATGGGGCTGCTCTGCATGGTTCTGCACCACAGGGCATTCTTAGGGGGGGGGAGGCTGGAAGGGTTGGGGGACATGAAGGGACATAAGGGGCTGGGGGTACCTGGGGTGCACAGTCAGAGGGGAACTGGAGGCGGGGGGTCATTATGAATGCAATAAAATATGCATTCGAAATGCTGCATCTGGGCATTGCTGATGTGCCACAGACCAAAGGAGATGCCAACATGGACACACTTTCAGACAAAACATTTATTTAGGAATGGGGTGGAAAAAAAGCTTTCCAGATCGGGTAAGATTCCAAGGGGGTTGTGGAGTTCGAGGTTGCAGCAATGCCCGAATGGACTCTGGGTTTCTCTCACTGCTGCAGCTGTTTGATGTGGGCTTTTAGAGCTGAAAAATTGTCCCTTACAATGGCCAGATTTTCCTTTAACGTCTTCTGGACCTGCAGGGGAGTCAGAGGGGCAGGGGATGAGTGGGAGAGGCAGGATGGGACCCACTCCTTCTCCAGTGCATGCCGGTGGGACTCACCTCCACCAGCAGCAAGGCCTTGCTCCTGAGATCAACAACCATCTCCTGCTGCGTGGTCTCCCAGTATACCAGGGCCTGCATGAACCACGTAGCTGGGAGGGAGGTAAAAGCTCAGTGCTGCTGGGGACTGTACCCCCCCCCCCCCAACATGTTCTTCGTCATGCCACACCACTGTCCCCAGCGTCCCCCCCAGCCCCTCACCTTCCTCATGCAGGTCCCTGAGGATCAGCAGTCGCTGTACCACATCAGGCAGACTGCTGACCACAGGGTCCCAGCGCTGCAGCATCTCATGGACCTGGTGTATCTGGGGCAAGGGGTGGAAAGCAAGAAAGGAGGGTGTAAGCACAGTCTGCAGGGGGATTCCATAAAAGCCCCCCATGCTGGCGTTGCTTTGAGGGGCCCTCCCTGCTCCTCTTACTTTGCTCTGGGTTTCAGGGTCTAGCATGATTGCCTTGTGCTCGGTGTTTTCAATGACCTTCTGCAGGACGCTCTGCAGAGGGAGAAGCAGATGTGAGACCCCAAATCCAGCAGTGTCCCCCACCCCAACTTCATAGCCTTTGCTGGTGCCCTCCCCTGGCTCTCCCATGGCCCTGTGCCACCCTCCGTGGGGCTGGTGGGACTATTGCTGGCTGGGGGCTGCAGGACTCCCCCCCAACCTCCCTCTCTCTGAGCCCCCTAACCTGCAGCCTGGCCTCCACTTGGTCCAGCACAGCCATGTCCAGGATGTTCACTTTGGCTTGGAGGATCTGCACGGTCTCCTAGGGATGGAGAACAAGGTGAGGGGAGGCCAGGCAGTGCCCCATGGCTGCCCCAGTGCCATGTGCAGGGGTGGGGAAAAGTGTCCCACCATGCCACCCACACCATGGCCAGCCATACCCTGGAGCACATTCAGCACAGCAGAGCTAACCAGTCAAAAGATAGGACAGTCCCACTCCACTCAATGCTGGTGTGGCATCACCTTGAGTGCAGTCTGTGTGCAGTCTGGGGCTCCCCAGTATGAGAAGGAGATAAAAAATACTAGAATGGGTCCCAAAAGAGGTGTTCTATAAAGATGGGGGAAGGGCTAGACGGCATGACTTAGGATGAGCAGCTTGGTCTGTTCTTGGTTTGTTCAGCTTTGAGAAGAGCAGCCTGAGGGGTGACCTCTTTGCTGTCTACAACACCCTCAGGGTGTAGAGCGGAGAGGGAGGTGCTGATCTCTTTTCTCTGGTGACTGAGTGTGAGGGAACAGCTTAAAGCTGCACCAGCAGAAGTTCCAGTTGGGTATTAGGACATACATGTAAGTTCTTCACCAGGGTGGTGACTGAGGAGCACAACAGGCTCCCCAAGCAGGGGAGCACGGACACAAACCTGTCGGTGTTCAAGAAGCATTTGGGCAATGCTCTTATATATTAACTACTAGATTGCCCCGTGTGGAGCCAAGAGTTCAACTCAATGATCTTCATGGGTCCCTCCCACTCAGGCTATTCTAGGATTCCAGGACTTACCACAAGGCTGGTGCCCTTCAGCCCAACCAATGATGGGTTCTGTGGGGAGGAAAATCACATCAGTGGGGCAGGATAGAGAGCAGGAGAGTGGCAGGGCTGGAGCACCTGTCCCTTACCTGGCTGTCAGGCTCGTATCGTACCATCACCTCCAGCTGTGCCAACCGCTTCTCCAGCTCTGCAATCTGGGGGGGGAAACAAGGGCTGAGAGGGCAGGACAGGCCATTTTGGGGTCAAACTCTCGGACTCCCCCTCCACACACTCACATTAACAGCCTGGGAGAACTGGTCCTGCTCTGGCCTCCAGTACAGCTCAAAGGTGAGCATGTCTCCAGTGGGGGCTGGGGCCTTGCCGGGTCTCTCCCCTGACACTGCCTTCTTGCACTTCACCTCCTCCAGCTGCTGCAACAGGCGCCTGGGCAAGGGGAAGAGGTGAGTGTGCTGCTCTGGTACTGCCTCATGGGGTTGCTGGCATCCTCCCCCTGCTGCCCCCCACTTCCCAAGCTGAAGGCGTGATGCCTCGGGACCACACTCACTTGGCCAGCGTGCCTTCGAGGTCCGTGAAGTCTATGGCTGCAGCAGGGCCCAGTAGCTTTTCCAGGTGGCTGGAGACCAGCTGCTGCTTCAGGCCTTCCACCTGCCTGGCCAAGGCCATGGGTATGAGCTCCTCCTCAGCCTCCGACTCCTTCAATGCACTCTGCGCAGGGGTAGGACAGGCGGCTGTGTCAGCCCCCAAGGATGGCCTGCCTGCAGGTCCCTGCAGGTGCTGGTACACCAGTACCCAAAACCCTTTGGTAGTAGCTGTGCCTTCACAGACAGGCAAGTAAACTTGTGGCTGTGGGAGAGCTGTGGTGCTGGGCAGGGACGTAACTGTGTGTTGAGGAGGGACAAGGGACGAATGCAGTAGGGTAGTTCACACTAAAGGGACATCTCTGCACTTGTTTGACTCACATTTTCATACTCTCCAGACTTGTAGCCTGTTGTACTGGTCTTGCTTGTGCTGTCGGAGAAATCTGTGAGAAAAGAGCAGAGGGTCACCACAAAATACCTGGGGAGTCTATGCCATCCCTGGGTCCATCTCAGCAACCCAGGGACCATAGCTCACCCTTCCCCGGTCCCCTTGGCTCACCCACTCCCTTGGTGCCCAGGCGCTTGTCCTTGAACTTCTCGAAGGCAGCATTGGGGTTGATGACAAAGTGCTCCACACTGGTGCTGGTAAGCTCCTCCTGCACACAGGACACAGCACTAAGGACAAAGGAAGACTCAAAGGTTTGTGTGCAGGGCTGCCGTCTCTGTGCTCTCTGTAGCCCTGGCAGCCTTTGAGGGCCAGTGCTGGGGACCAGATGGGTGGAAATGGGGCTGACGGTGTCCCCATCCTCCCCAACTGCCCCAGGATGATGCATAAACCCCCAGGGCAACCCTCAGGTTGCAACAGGTACACAGGGGCAGGTGCAACAGTCAGACCCAGCAAAGGCTCCTCTTGGGCAGCAAGGGCTCTCCAGGATGCACCATTTCCCAGGACATGGCTCATGCACATCAGACCCCCGGCCTGGCCTGGCCAACAGGAAAAACCCCACAAGGGCCTGGCAGCAGGGCCAGGGCACACTGAGGCAGTCCTTTGGCGGTTCTGGGACCCCCACAACCAGTAACAGGCAGTCTGCTGCCACACGTGTTATGTGTGGTTGGGGTGGCCCCAGTCCCACAGCTGTGTTTCAGGGTGGCTTCCATCATCCACGGGCTCTGGGGTGCTTGCAACTTGTGAGACGACTTCAACGCCTCCAAGACTTCTCCACAGCTTTCCCTGCAGCCTAGCTTGCACATGTCCCCTTGAGGGGCGCGTGCAGACAGCAACTTGGGGTGCTTCTCGCCCTCTGACACAGCAGGGCCCTGCAGGAGGTGCCCCAAGGACACCCTGCCTGCTCCCCTCTCTGGCCCCTGTGCCTGACCTGAAGCACTCTCAGGGAGCTCCGGCACAGCACAAATGGAGAAGAAGGGGTGAGAGCAGCGGGGGCAGCTCTCCAGCATGGCTGGGGGGGCTGTCCAGCTGTGGGGAGACGGCAAGTGCCTCTGAGCAGAGCAGTGGCTGACACACAGGCTCTTACCAGCTACTTGCGTTCCCCAGGGGTGAGAAAGTCAGAGTTAGGAGGAGAGGAGAGGAGAGAGAAAGCAGTCCCAGCAGTGCCACTGGGACATGGCACTGCATTACGCAGGACACGGAGCCAGGGGACAGGGGCAAGGACACCCACCCAGCACGAGTCTTGCCCTTGCTCCTTGCTGCCCTGCAGCAATGTCAGGCTGAGACAGGGCCAGCAGACCATGTTGGGGTAGTGTCACTGCAGGGACATGTGCAGGGACAGGAGCCGCTCCCCTGTCCCAGAGATGATCTCGCTGAGCCAGATGCCTGTGGGATTGGGGCACCAGCACCCTTGCTCACCTCTACCACACATGGGGCCCCAGCAGAGCCTTACCAACTCAAACTCGGCCTGGTCGCCCTCGGGTGTGTCACTGGTCTCATAGACCTCTGGTTCATTCCAGGCCTAGCACACAAACAGGCTCAGCTATTTGCTCTTTCTCACCAGGCACCCCCGAACTGCCCCAGACACCTTCAGATGGTGCCTCTGCCCACCCACCCCTAACCCCCGTCAGTTCCCTGCCCACACTCACCCTATCTCCCCAAGAACTCCTCAGCTCTTCTGGACACCTCCAATGTCCCCAGGCCCCCTCTTCCTGCCCCCATGCCCCTGACACCCCCTGTGCTCAGGTACCCTACAGGCACCCCCACACCTGCAGCCACCCTGACCCCCCCGCAAGTCCCAATGCCCTGACACGCCTGTCTGTCGCCCCCCACCCCAGACAGCCCCGACTACCCCCCATCTCCCCAAACACCCCACTTACTGCCCTGCTGCCTCAGATCCCCCCGAGCACCCAAAACCAACCCCAATCCCCCCAGGTCCCCCATCTGACCCTGGCATCCCCAACCTCCCCACAGGCCCCACGTTCTCTCCCCTGACCCCCTCCGGACACCCCAAGGCCCAGCCCCGCACGCACGATGCCAGGCAGGTCGGCAAACTTGGGGGTGGCCATGGCTGGGGGATCGCTGAGGGGCCCGGTTCCAGGGCAGTGCAGGGGGTGCCAATGGGGGCGGCTCCGGGCTGGTGTCGGACAGGGCTGGAAGCTGCTCACAGCCAGGGCAGGTGTGAGGCAGAGCTGAGCGGGGGCAGGGGTGGCCGTTTGGGGCCGCTCTAGAAGGTTCTGTGCCACAGGGCATGCTGGGGGGGAAAAGACACAAGGGGACACCTGGGGCTGGGGGCACCCCGGGGTGCAGTCAGGGGGGAAATCTGGGGAGGGACACTGACGGTGCAAATCGGGGTGGGGGCACGTGGGGCTGCACGCAGGGGGGCACACGTGAGTGAAAATTCAGGGGGTGAAACATACGGGGGTGGAAATGGTGGAGGGAAAGGGGGTCACACGGGAGTGGAGGCACACACAAGTGAAAATGGGGGGGCACACAGAGGGGCAGGGGGTTGCGCTTCTTAGGGCAGCCTGTTGGTTGTGCTCCAACATTGCTGCATGGCAGCAGTGTTGTAGCACAGGTTTGTGCTTTTGTTCCAAAGGGGAAAGCAATAGCAGAGCCTGGCAGAGCCTTCTCTTTGAAGCCCCTAAAGCTCTCCAACAGGGATCCAGGAGGGGACACCTTGCTCAAGGCCGCACCTGAGGAGAAACAAGGTGCTTGTGGCAGAGCTGGGTGCACAATGATGGCAGCAGGCTTGGTGGGCATGCAGCAGGCTTCCAGAAGCAGTGATGGTGTGAATTCCGTCACAGACCCACGCTCTGAGCACGCCTGAGCCTTTGGTCTAATGGGCAAATCAGGATCTGAAAGAGCCAGGGCTTTCCAACCAGTTCATAGCAGGGAGCACAAGCCTTGCAAGTTAAGGGCGGAACAGCCTTTCCACAAGCCAGTAAAGGAAAGTCACGGTCACCACTTGTGACTAAGAATGAATCAGAATCACAGAATCATTTAGCTTGGCATGATGACACTCAGGATAACCTGCCCAATGAGCTTCCCCATCACCGAAGTCAGACTGACAGACCTATATTTTCCCGGGTCCACCCTCCGGCCTCTCTTGTAGATGGCTGTCACATTTGCTAGCCGCCAGTTGACTGGAACCTCCCCTGATAGCCAGGACTGCTTATAAATGATGGAAAGCAGCTTGGCGAGCACTTCTACCTGTTCTCTCAGTACCCTCGGGTGGATCCCATCTGGCCCCATCAACTTATGTACATTGAAGTGCTGTAGCAGGTCGTGAACCATTTCCTCGTGGATTATGAGGGCCACAATCTGCTCCCCATCCCCTTCCACCAGCTCAGGGGGCTGGGTACCCAGAGAACAACTGGTCTTGCTACTAAAAACTGAGACAAATAAGGCATTAAACACCTTAGCCTTTTCCTCATCTCTTTCCACTAAGTTTCTCTCCGCATCCAGTAAAGGATAGAGATTCTCCTTAGTCCTCCTTTTCATGTTAAGGGGCAGTTTTCATGTTAAGATAACATTTTTTGTTATCTTTCACAGCAGTAGCCAGACTGAGCTAAAGGGCTCCAAGCCCCTGGCAAAGCAGCACTGCTGGATCTGTGACTGCTCGATCTGTGATCTGACTCCTGAAGGCAAGGAGCCTGAAGAATACCAAGATCTTATATGAGATGGTCCAAGATGACACTTTCTGGGGAATATAGAGACATTTGCAAAAATTGACCTCTTGGTTGCCTGAATGGGATGGCTCCAGCAACATATTTTTATCATTCTAGCAATAATGGCATTGTGTTTCTATCATTTCTCATGAAATCTGAAGAAAAATATTGAACCCTACTGTTCTAAAAACTAAAGAGTGGGTGATGTGAAGAGCTGCAAAACAAAATAGTAGTAAGAAAAGAGGACAGGAGAATTGAACATCAAAGTTATGTTTTTTTGCAGTAGAATGTGGTTTTGCAGTGGAAAATTCCACTAACTTTTCATATTCAAAAGTGATTGTGTAGGTGTGACAGTGGCATAGCAGTGGGAAGTATGTTAAGAAGATAATGGGAAGGTCCTGCTGTCTCAAAATTAGGAGGATAGCTAAGAAAAACAGGATAAGCAGTGGGAAATCAGTAAAAACAAAAAACCACGGGCCCTCTAGTCAAGAGAAAAGAAGAGAGACCCCACACTGGAGCAGGGACATAACTGTGAAGGGGCAGTGGAAATGAAGTGTTACTGACATGCGGAAAACGGCCTCCACAATCAGTCAGCTTGTAAAGTAGGTACGTTTATTCAGCCTGGACAGCATGGGGGGAAGTCCCACCAAAGTCGTGCACACCACAACACGGCAGCTTGCCTTGGTTATATGCAGTAAAGTGACATACGCATGAAGTTCCCCAATGCTCCTATACATATGCGTGACCTATACTTACTTCATATTAAAATTAGTTCCAAGAAGGCATTTCCACAAACTCCTCCCATCTGCACTTGCGCATTGCCTCCTGCTGGTGGTTGCCGGGAGTCATCGGGATGAAGGCTGATAACTCTTCATCACCTCTAGTTGACCCCCTGCCTTTGTGCAGACTCAGCTGCTCCTTGGCTCTCGTCCAAACCACAGGGTTGGTCTCAGCCGGTTCTCGAGACAGGTTCCCTGTTTTTGTCAGGAACCATCCTTTGTGAGGGGCCCCAAGACTTCTTGTTTTGCTTAATTTGCACAGTAGTAAGCAAAGACATTAAGCAACATCTATTTTTAATACAATAATCTAGGTATTCATTAGTCAGCATCCTGTCTACTAAGATCCCCTTAGCTCCCTCTCTCACTGCGGACTGATTGCAGCCCCCATGCCCTGCTTGGGGGGACGATGTAGAAGAGGCTAGATGGGGACGGAAGGTGTTTTTAGTTTGCTTTTGGGCAATAAACTATGTTATTGCCAAGTTTGTTTTACCTGTGACAATAATTGGTGGGTGATCTCCTTGTCCTTATGTCACCCTTAAACCTTTTCCATTGTATTTTCTTCCTTTCTTTTTTTTTTTTTTTTCCTTGAGGCGGAGGAGTGAGAGAACAGTTGTGGTGGAGTTCAGCTGCCCATCAGGGTAAAACCACGACAGGTGACAACCCCCTGGCTCCCCATGCTGGCTCCAAGCAAGGATGAGTGCAGGACAGAGCAGGGCTCTGTAGGGCAGAATCGACCCTGGCACCACCATTGCCTTGAGGCATTTCCATTCTCCCAGGATAGTAGTCACCCCTAAAACAGCTCCTGAACCCCAGGGGACTAGGTGTCTGTGCTACAGGGTGGGCTGGATCGCAACATGCTCATACCCAGTTACTTGTTTCCTTACTTCCTTTTGTATGTTCACGAGAATAATAAATAGTCTAATGGTTTTATTCTATTCTCATTTTTGTCAGTGCTGGGGCGGGTGAGTCCAAGGGCCATTTCAGCCTTGTGCCATGGGATGAAGCCATGGGTACACAGCAGAAAGGACAAGGGGAAGAGGAAAGGAGCTGCAGGGACAGCCTAGGGTCATGTGGGAGACAGCAAAGGGACACTGTGGGATGAGAAAATGGCCAGGGCTGGGAATGTGCAGCGCAGGAAAAAGGACACTGGGGGTAGGGAAAAGGGGCAGGTATGGCATAGGAGCACTAGGTTGAAGAAGGGGCACAGGGACAAGGCTGGAGACACAGGACAGGGTGGGGACACATGGGGAAGGGTGACAGGAGAGGGGTGCTTTGGGATATGAAGGGACTATTTTGCAGCATCAACCCTCCCCATCACCTGGGGGTAACCCCCCCCATCACCTTGAGTTATCCAACTTTTGTTTGCCAGCCCCCGGCGTGTGTTGGCATCCTGCCTGGTCATGGGCCATGTTTTCTGTCCCTGGCAGGCGTGTCCTTTGCTGCCACTTGTGCCTGGAGCTCCCCACATCGTGTGGCATAGACCTCTTCATCCACTGCAGCCCTGGGACTAAACCATGGAGATTGATTCTGACTGGAACATCTCACTGGGTAGGTGAACCTTGATCCCACTGCCTAGCCTTACACCTGGGCTCTTTGCCCTTCCAAGCTGGGTACTGGCCCCATACGTATTTGTCAACATTCCTGGATCCCAGGGACCAAACCCTGGTTCAGAGATGCTGATGTGCTCCTGAAGGGGTTGGGGTAGGGGGAGGCGATAGCCGCCCCCCTATGCTGGCATTGCTCCTCTGTCTTGGGTTGGTGTTGACGGAGTCCTGCCACTTTATGGGGAGCCAGGTGCCCCCGGGACAGGGGCATAGGGCCGGGTACTCACTGTCAGTCTCAGGAGGCTTCCCTTCACTTCTCCCAGTGGTGAGGAGTGTGGGCCCTGCACTGCGCCAGGGCTCTGCCTGGCCCGCCCAGGGTGGGACAGAGCTGTGTGGTGCCAAGTGTTCCTTGGCACTTGTCACAGCACATAGTGGGGTACTGCAGGCTCGAGGGTTTAAAATAGCAGTTTATTATCAGGAAGTTGAGGGGATTGGCATGGCCTCTGAGTCTCCCTGGGGCTGGTGCATCCCACGCTCTCAGCACCTGCAGGAGAGATGGCAGTGAGCAGGGCCAGTTGAGAGTTCTCAACCCCTTCCCCAAGCACCATGGCCTGGCAAGGAGATCTCACCTGTGCCTGTAGTACCAGACGGTCGCAATGCAGGCCGCAGCCACAGTGAGCAGCACCACAACAGCAACACCAATGCCAAGGGCCCCCTTGGAGCTGCCTGAAGGAGAAAAGAGAGAGTGGGGCTGCAAGTGCATAGGTGGCCACGGCCAGAGTTGCTGTTGGAGCTGGGCTCACCGTCTCCTGTACTGGGCTCTGGGTCACTGCCTACACCACATCACTGTGGGTGGTACTTACCCCAGGGGATGAGGAGGCTGTGGGTACCCAGGCTGCAGTGGCGCACGCGGCAAGCGTAAGTGTGCCCATCGTCGGGGGCCACGATGAGGGTGCTGCGGAGCTGGTAGGTGAGGTCAGCATTGGGCAGGATGGTGCTGGTGTTGAGTCCTGGGCCCGGCGGCACCTCCTGGCCATCCCGCAACCAGGCCACACTGATGGGTCGCGGGTAGAAGCCAGTGACACGACAGACTAGCAGGAGCTGAGCTGGGTCACGCATGTGGGCAAAGACAGTGGCCACAGGTGGCTCTGGGGGACAAGAGTGAAGGAGTAAGGGGAGCCCCAGTGGAGGAGCTTTGAAGTGGGCCGTACTGGGGTCTGGGTGTTCTCACCTCGTCTCTCCAGAGCCGCCCTGCCATATTCAATGAATCTCTTCATGTGGTCAATGCAGGTGAAGTTGAGGAGGTACTGCAGCGATGCGGAAAAACCAATGAAACTGCTGAGCTCCCTCTGAACATTCACTGCCAGCTCATTCTCCTGCCACCTCTTCCAGTGGCTGCTGTCCACATCAAAGCTGACGAAGCTGTGAGCATTGTAGGCAAGACGGTAGAATTTTGTGGAGGAGCCGTTGGGGTGCAGTTCACAGCCCATCCTGCACTGGAACACAAAAGGGTCTGGAGGAGGGGGTGGGTATCAGGAGTGCATCTTGAGCTGGAGCCAGAGCTTGAAATAGCAGTTCAGCATTCACTTCTTTGGGCACAGGCCTTACCCCAAATTATTCCCGCATGTCACTGCTCATTGTGCTGGGTGGAACTGCTCTGAATGAGAAACCTGACTGTGAGCCCTGGAGCTCGTTCTCCTCAAGCCACTTGTTCCTGCAGCTGGGTCAGGAGCACAGCAAAGGGGGAACCACCACCTTGGGAGCATGACAGGACATGGGGTGCAGGTGTGTGGCTGTGGTAACAGGGGTGGTGCCACTCTGCCTTGCACCCTGCCCATAGGACACCAGCATTGGAATGGCGTGCAGAGCCAGGCACTTGCTCTGTGTCCCATCCCACAAAGGAGAACAGAGAGGGTTGACCTTATACTCCATAGTCTTGGAGGACTTCGCTGGTGGGATTTGGGGTGACCAGAGAAGAATATGTGGGCTCACATAAGGGCATAAGAGGAGACACAGCCAAAGATGGACTCAGTGATGCTTGTGGATGCCTTCCAACTACCACTTCCACTGTGGATTTTCTGATTCTTTGATTCTCTGATTCTAAAGGTTATGTTGGGAACCAGGACATCTTGGTGCAGGACAGGTGGTTCAGGGGGCTCATTGCCGCAAGATAGGGCCTATCACCTGCTCTCCTGCTCGCCCTTGGTTAGGGAAGCAACTGACAGTGGTTCTGAGCTCCTACTCACAGCTTTGTGCCTGTCCTCAGTGTTACATATGGAGTGGTAATTCGTGTTGAGAAAATGGATGATATTAATAAAGAAGGGGGAGATTTGGGAATGTGGCCATGGGGGTTGGAAAGCCCCGTGGTTGAGATAACATTAGACTCTTAACGACGAGGTCATCAGGAATATAAAGGAGTTTGGAGGGAACAAAGAAGGGTGATTCAGGAGACTCCATGCAGTCTCCGGTTTCTTGTTCTCCATCTGGTTTCTTGTTCTCCAGCCATTAAGGCATGGAAGTTTCTGGGTGTTTGCTGTTGTTGTTGCATTCAAAGTTGTTTGACCAATGAAAAGTTGTTTTGAAAAGAACTGCTATGGAGAGAAGGGTATAAGAGGGGAGCCTGTCCTCAGAATAAAAAAGGCAACATGATGTAATGAAGTTATGTCATCAGTAAAGAAGCAGGAAAAAGACGTGAGGAGGAACAGGCTGGCAGAATGGAGACCAGGACGGGAACAGGCACTTTGATTGCCTCATGAAGATAGGTTCGGCCAGACAGCAAATCGCTCAGAGGAGCTCGTGCAGAAAGTCGCTGGAAATGGGCGCACTGGAGCTGGAAAGAAGCTCAAGCTGAGAGAAGCGGACCCGTGCACACAACTGCCCCTCGCTGGTCAGCAGTTGCGCATTATGGGGAATCATACGTCCTTAGGAACAAAGACTGTCCTGGTAACCTTACAGCTCATTCTCCTTGTTAACAATCGGACAGTTTATGAGCCTGAAATAAGGGACCAAATTAATGTCAAGGTTTTGGACTGCAACTAAAAATGGCAAGGTTGCAGTGGGATTGCTCGGCACCTGGCGAGCAGTCTCTGAGGCCTGAAAGAGCCCTGTGGGACCACAGTCAGAAACGTGTGGTTTGCCAGACAGTGAGGGAGCTGCGGGCTCCTTTACTGATCCAACTGCTATGCCATGGGCCCCTCTGCTGCTACAGCCATCTCAGGCCTTTGCTGTTTCGCCCCCGGCTGACCTGGACGTGCCTTTTGACCCAGGCCTCTTGGCCTTCACAAGGAGATGGCTATGCTTTTCTTCGATCCAGGAAGAACGGGACACATAAGGCCCGAAGGCCGAGTTGCTTGACAACTTAAAGCAAGATTTATTGTTCAAAAGGAGTGGAAAATGGAGACTGTAAGTTATGGAACTTAAAGGATTGCTTGTTACCTTTCCTGATTGTACGTATGTATAGGCATACTTGTGTTTAGTATGTTAAGCAATGTTCTGTATATTTAGAATGTCTGATGTTCGTGTGTGCGTGTTGGTGGAGCGTAGACTCCCCGCACACCCACAGCTGCTTACTTGCCTTTTATACCTTTTAGAAAGATTTGTTTTATAAATATTACAAAATTCAGATTGAGTTGAGACCTCATTTATAACATCAGGATACTTACAGAATCATAGAATCACAGAATCATTAAGATTGGAAAAGAGCTCCAAGATCATCTGGTCCAACCATTCCCCAACCACCAATATTATCCACTAAACCATATCCCTAAGTCCAACATCCAGGCTTTTCTTAAGCAACCCCAGCGATGGTGACTCCACCACTGCCCTGGGCAACCCGTCCCAGTGCCTGACTGCTCTTTCTGAGCAGAAATGTCTCCTCATTTCCCACCTGAACCTCCCCTGGAGCAACTTGAGGCCATTCCCTCTGGTCCTATCGCAAGTTACCTGTGAGAAGAGGCTGACCCCCAGCTCCCCAAACCTTCCTTTCGGTCAGCTGTAGAGAGCAATAAGCTCTCCCCTGAGTCTCTTCTTCTCCACACTAAATAATCCCAGTTCCCATGTGACTTGTGTTCCAGGCCCTTCACCAGCTTTGTAGCCCTTCTCTGGACACTCTCCAGTGCCTTGATGGCTTTGTTGTAGTGAAAGGGCCCAGAACTGAACACAGAATTTGTGGTCCGGCCTCCCCAAAGCAGGGTACAAAGGGACGATCACCTCCCTGCTCCTGCTGGCTATGCTATTCTTTATACAAGCCTGGCTGCTGTTGGCCTTCTTGGCCACCTGGGCACACTGCCGGCTCATGTTGAGGTGAGCATCAATCAGCACCCCCAGATCCTTTTCCTCGGCACAGCTTTTGAGCCACTCTGCCTCAACCCTGCAGCACTGCAAGGGGGGCAGAGAGTGTGAACTCATGCCTGCACTACCAGAAATTATGCAATCGAGTTTCCCTCATTTGTGGAAATCGCAGTGATTAGCACACCCAAAGTGCAGGGGATGAGCCTCACCCTGGGAAAACCACTGCCTGATCATGGTACCTTCCCTGCCATTTAAGTAAGAAAAGGAGGATCACCCAGTACTCACAGGGAATCTGGTACAGCCTAGCTTTGTCCTGCAGTATCTGAATGTAGTTGTACAAATAGATCCTGAACATATTTTGCAGATTTTCCCACTCGTCTGCGGGCAGGGCTGGGGAGACCCATGGTTGGAGGTAAATGATTTCCCGGGTGTATTTCTGCAGGGCAGCGATGATGATGTCCTCCAGGGTGGCCCAGCCTGAAAGTTCCACCGAGTTGCTATTGTAGAAGGTACAGCTATGGAATAGGTGGAGTTTCTGAGAGCCTGTGGGGTGACAGAGAAGAGAAGGTTGTGCTGAGGAGCACGAGGGTGAAGGAGATGGGCAGGAGGCCCCAGGAGGAGGAGTGGCCCACAGGGTCCTCAGGGATGGGCAGAGTGAGATGGGGAAGGTGGGAAGGGCAGGGGAAATCCCCTTGTCTAGCTGCTTTCACACAATTTGCAATTTCCTTCCACTGCCTCGAAGAGCCTCTCTTTCTGCTTCTCCTCTAATTCCCTTTTTACCCCTTCACCACCCTGATGTGACCACCTGAGAGCTATCACTTGGCTGTGTGGAGGGGACAGCAGGGGTGATCTGGTCTCTGGCTGGGAACAACAGTTCCACCAGTTCACGTGGGGATCCAGGTCCGGCAGAGACCTGCTCACAGTGCAGGAAATCTTCTCAAAGGGGAAGTGGGGGAGGCGAATTTCGCCTAGATTTGTGGTGGGGGGGGGTGCTGAGCAGCACTCGTGGGAAACTGAATCGTGACAGGAGGCAGGAGAGCAAGTCCAACACTCACACAGTGACTCCTGTCATGCTGAATGAAACCCTGAGAACTAATGGCACAAAGCAAAGCCTGGATTGGGGCAGTAAGAGCCCCCCTGCCTGGAGTGCAATAAGTACCTGATCCCAGCATGGAAAATGCAGGCTGGAACAAAGCTGGAGGCTCCTTGCGGCTGCAAAAGAAAGCTTTCACCGTAGGGGAAGCATGCAAAGGATCCAGCAACCTTTCAATGGTAAAAGAAATGATCCCACATGCTCAGGGCAGTGCCCAGGACCTGCTTAAGCAGTTAGAGCCCAGTGCAGGGCTGTTGTGCCATGAGGGGAAAAGATACCCTCCCACGTGCGCCCATGAACGGCCAGGAGGAAAAAGGCACGTTTGGGGACACTCCATCACCCCAAGCCTGTCTGGGAGTCCTTGGCCCTTGTGCTGGAGCTATCAGCACTGGTCTGGTCAGGATGGTGCAGGGCAGTGAGCCCAGAGCTGGACATGGGAGCAGAGGGGGTGGGCAGAGATAGGGCACCTTTGGATGCTGCACCTAAGTGACGGGTATAATCTCCCCATGCACCTTCATGTCCCTGGGCCTCACCCCCTGCCACCCCTGTACAGACCCACAGTAGAGAGAACGGAGCAGATAGGAGTGTGCCACTTACCCTCTGGGTCTGCCCACATCCCAGGAAGGATGAAGAGAAGAAGGCAAGGGAACTGCATGCTGCCAGTGGTGAAGCCCCAAGCATTCAGAAGTGGGTGCAGCACGAGGCGAAAAGGGCTGCAGGAGCCGCAGCTGCACACTTCTTTCTGTTGCTGTTCTGCCTGGGCAGTTCCAGCAGTGCTAGTCGTATCAGCAGCCAATGGGGTCTGCACTGCGGTTTTGGGGTGGTCCTGGCATACTACGGTCATTCAGGAGGATGTGGTGGAAGGCTGGCCCAGGGCTTTGAGTAGTGGGGGGAAATCCAGTGGGTTAACCCTCAAGGCTGCAAGACCCAGGGAGATGTCAGGTGAGCATGTAATAGGGTTTATGCTGCAATGTCTGTAATAGGGTTTACCCTGCAATGCCCTTGCAGAGAGCACTGGGGTTGTTCTGACTGCCCTTCCTGGTAGCACATCACTCAGAGGCAGGGTCCAGCACAGCTCTTTTCCAGACATCAGCTACATTGTGGGGGTGACTGTCCCCTGCCTTTCTGTCTTTTGTAAGGGCAGGAGATGGGCAAGGGGGCAGCAGTAGGGCATGGAGGAGATTTGGACCCCAAACCAGCCCAGAGAGTGAGTGATAGCAAGTCCCACAGCACGAGCAGCTTTGCACCAACTGGAAACATCTTCCTGTGTTGGAGGTTGGAGATGTCACTTGGGTCCTTCCCTCTCTCTTCACCCTCTACAGCCAAACAGCCCTAAATCCCTTCATCTTTCCCTGTTTTGTGGCTATCCCTGTCCCGAACCCATTCAACATGGTCGCACCAGTTTTTCACTACCTTTCTTCAGGGTCCAACATTGGTCATAAATGTGCCAGAGTAGGTGGTGGAGGTGGAAATTGCTTCTTCAGACATGCCAGAAGAGGTTGGCTGCTGTCCAGGAAACAGACTACTCCTCCTGGTGCCATGACATAGAGTCTCTGCCATGTACTGGGGATTTTCCTGTGGGGACCCTGCAAGGGGGAAGACACTTGAGAGTCACTTATTTTTGCAGTAGAATGTGTTTTTGCAGTGGAAAATTCCACTAACTTTTCACATTCAAAAGTGATTTTGTAGGTGTGACAGTGGCATAGCAGTGCAGAGTATGTTAAGAAGATAACGGGAAGGTCCTGCTGTCCCAAAATTATTCAGGTAGTTCACATACCTGCGGCTATGACAGTTGTCTCTACTACTGAGGTTTATGAACAGCTGTTATTCTCGTGACATTTGTGTACTGTTGCCTCCTTAAAATCCTGTGGGGAAGCCAGGAGGTGTCGTATATCATTGTCCTTCACACAACACGGCACACCCCACATCACACAGCCCAGGAAGACCCCTGAGCCATGTGTGAGGGACAGAACCTCCCGTCCCAGGAGCTAGGGTCCAGGACTTGGACTTGCTCCTTCATCAAACAAACCAAGGACTTCACTCACCATCAGAGTCACATGCACAGTGCCTTTGACTAGCTGTAATTGTGGCCTCCCGTTATCTGCTCTAACAAGCCCATGGAGATGCTTTGTCAGTAAAAGCCCACATGGAGACCCATTAGAACTCCAGAACATTTCCACGTTTCCTTCTGAAATCTTTTCCAACAGTTCGTTCCATAACCTCATTCTCCTTTCACTACCTAAGGTTCATGGACTCAGCACCAAATATACCATGAGGTTCATTACAATTCACCAATTTTCATCAAGTCTTCAAGACTTGCACAGTTAATTAATGAGGTTTCAAGAGCGTAATTAAATGGGAAATTTTCCATGGGCACTTGTTAAAAAGGATTTTCCATAATTAAGCTTTGTTGTTTTTTGTTGTTGTTGTTGTTGTTGTTTTTGAGTTGTGAGAAGAATTGATAGCACCATTCTCCAGTTGACATTGATCCAATGTGTCTCCTAAAGAGGTCTAGATAAATAGGAAAAGCAGTCCCATAAGGTCCTACATACACCCACATACTTAACTTTTCCTTACATGAGACTTCTCCACTAAAGGCTACAGCAGGATGTTAAAGCTCTTTTACACCAAGTCCTATCTGCTTTCCTCAGACAACTGGCTACACACAGAAACAGAAGTTGGTGGGAGTGGGGGAGGGAGGAGAGAATGGATCATTTTATTTCTATCGTGTATGTGGGGAGGATTGTTGATTTTGTTTTGTGTTGCTTTATATATCATACTTATATGTATATATATATATATATATAAATTACTGCGAGTCAAATTTAAGTAGTTGCCTCCAATGAGGTGCACATTCCACAAGGGATGACTGCACACAAAATGTTTGACATAGATAGATTGGAAATGATAAATACAAAGGCAATTACAGAGTTGGCTATAGGGATGATAAGAGAGGCTACTGAAAGATGAGCATGCTTAAACTCCCTGAAGTTCCTAGAATCAACTGGATATATGAGAAGTGAACAAAGAGCAAGAGCAAGCGGAGGGGTGTGGGGTTTGCTACACAGCTGAACTCCACAGCTGCTCTCTCAGTCCTCTTCCTCAAAGGAGAAGAGGGAGAAAATACCATGGAAAGGGTTCAAGGGTTGAGATTAGGACAGGAAGATCACCCACCAGTTATGGTCATGAGTAAAACATGGATTAGATATTGTTTAAGAATGCAATAGTTGTGAAGCATTTAAGAAAGTAGTAATTGTGTGGAATATGTTTTGTAATAATATAGTGAAGGGATGAGGGGTGGAATGTGTGTAAATTGTCCTCTTTGTCAGTGTTGTGATGATATGTTTATTTTGGTGGGGGGAATTTTTTATTTTATTATATATATATATATATATATATTTTTTTTTTTTTTGAGGGAACAAAGCCTTGTGAAGATTGTAATGATCACAGTGTAAGAGTATATTGTGATAGTTCTTAAATATGCTCTTCACGGAGGCGAGGAGTGGAATGTATTGGGTTTATGTGGCAAGGTTTTGGTAGCAGGGGTCTGCAGTGGTGGTCTCTGAGAAGACTACAGAAGCTGCTTCATGTTAGATAAAAGCCAGTTTCAGACAGCTCCAAAAGGGACCTGCTGCTGTTGGTTGCACCTCTGTGAGAGCATACTTAAGAAAGGGGGAAAAAAAAAAAAAAAAAAAAAAAAAATGCTGCGCAATAGCAGCTAGGAGAGTGAGGAGTGATAAACAGCCCTGCAGCCACCAAGGTCAGAGCAGGAAGGCATGAGGTACTCCAGGCACCAGAGCAGAAGTTCTGTGGCATGTGGAGAGGCCCCTGGTGGAGCAGGCTGTCCCCCTGCAGCCCATGGGTCCCACATGGAGCAGATCTGCACGCTGCAGCCCATGGAGGAGCCCCCGGTGGAGCAGGTGGCTGTGGCCTGTAGGAGGCTGCGGCCCATGGAGAGCCCCCACAGGAGCAGACCCCGGGACGGAGCTGCAGCCCGTAGAGAGGAGCCGACGCAGGAGCAGATGATTTGGGACGAACTGCCTCCTATGTGGGACCCAGTTTGGAGCAGTTTGCTCCTGACAGATGGACGCCATAGTACGGAGACATACTGAAAAGTTCTTGAAGAGCTATTCCCTGTGGGTAGCCCATGCAGGATCACTTTAGGCAGAACAGCATCCCATGGGAGAGACCCCACACTGGAGCAGGGGCATAACTGTGAAGGGGCAGTGGAAATGAAGTGTTACTGACATGCGGAAAACGGCCTCCACAATCAGTCAGCTTGTAAAGTAGGTTCGTTTATTCAGCCTGGACAGCATGGGGGGAAGTCCCACCAAAGTCGTGCACACCACAACACGGCAGCTTGCCTTGGTTATATGCAGTAAAGTTACATACGCATGAAGTTCCCCAATGCTCCTATACATATGCGTGACCTATACTTACTTCATATTAAAATTAGTTCCAAGAAGGCATTTCCACAAACGCCTCCCATCTGCACTTGCGCAGTTCCTCCTGCTGGTGGTTGCCGGGAGTCATCGGGATGAAGGCTGATAACTCTTCATCACCTCTAGTTGACCCCCTGCCTTTGTGCAGACTCAGCTGCTCCTTGGCTCTCGTCCAAACCACAGGGTTGGTCTCCGCCGGTTCTCGAGACAGGTTCCCTGTTTTTGTCAGGAACCATCCTTTGTGAGGGGCCCCAAGACTTCTTGTTTTGCTTAATTTGCACAGTAGTAGGCAAAGACATTAAGCAACATCTATTTTTAATACAATAATCTAGGTATTCATTAGTCAGCATCCTGTCTACTAAGATCCCCTTAGCTCCCTCTCTCACTGCGGACTGATTGCAGCCCCCATGCCCTGCTTGGGGGGATGATGTAGAAGAGGCTAGATGGGGACGGAAGGTGTTTTTAGTTTGCTTTTGGGCAATAAACTATGTTATTGCCAAGTTTGTTTTACCTGTGACAATAATTGGTGGGTGATCTCCTTGTCCTTATGTCACCCTTGAACCTTTTCCATTGTATTTTCTTCCTTTCTTTTTTTTTTTTTTCCTTGAGGCGGAGGAGTGAGAGAACAGTTGTGGTGGAGTTCAGCTGCCCATCAGGGTAAAACCACGACAGGTGCCAACCCCCTGGCTCCCCATGCTGGCTCCAAGCAGGGATGAGTGCAGGACAGAGCAGGGCTCTGTAGGGCAGAATCGACCCTGGCACCACCATTGCCTTGAGGCATTTCCATTCTCCCAGGATAGTAGTCACCCCTAAAACAGCTCCTGAACCCCAGGGGACTAGGTGTCTGTGCTACAGGGTGGGCTGGATCGCAGCATGCTCATACCCAGTTACTTGTTTCCTTACTTCCTTTTGTATGTTCACGAGAATAATAAATAGTCTAATGGTTTTATTCTATTCTCATTTTTGTCAGTGCTGGGGCGGGTGAGTCCAAGGGCCATTTCAGCCTTGTGCCATGGGATGAAGCCATGGGTACACAGCAGAAAGGACAAGGGGAAGAGGAAAGGAGCTGCAGGGACAGCCTAGGGTCATGTGGGAGACAGCAAAGGGACACTGTGGGATGAGAAAATGGCCAGGGCTGGGAATGTGCAGCGCAGGAAAAAGGACACTGGGGGTAGGGAAAAGGGGCAGGTATGGCATAGGAGCACTAGGTTGAAGAAGGGGCACAGGGACAAGACTGGAGACACAGGACAGGGTGGGGACACATGGGGAAGGGTGACAGGAGAGGGGTGCTTTGGGATATGAAGGGACTATTTTGCAGCATCAACCCTCCCCATCACCTGGGGGTAACCCCCCCCATCACCTTGAGTTATCCAACTTTTGTTTGCCAGCCCCCGGCGTGTGTTGGCATCCTGCCTGG